CAGATATTTATATATATATATATATATATATATATATTAATTATAGAATTTCTTGGTAGCACAGCTACCAAATGGAAAAACTTCAACTTAAAAACCCCCCCGAAAATTAGAAATGTTGCCTCAGCAGTTAAGTCAAATAAAACAAGTACTAAAATGATTAAACCCAAAACTGAAATAAGAAATAAAGCTATAACATAGCTTTTATAAGATTTATAAAAAGTAAAGCTTTTAATATAGACATATAAAAAACTAATAAAAATAACAAAAAACAATTAAATAAATAATATAAAAATAACAATTACATTCGTACTGAAAATTATGTATTAAAATATAAATATTATATAAATAAAAAACTAAAAACTTACTACTACTATTACTACAACATAAACTAAAGTTAAAATGAAAACTAATAATAAAAACTAATTCTAAAAATTAATTCTACAAAAGTATATAAATTATATAAACAATTTCTTGCGCAATGAAAATTAACATACAGTGCACAGTATACATACTGTACAGTGCAGAAAAACTAAATATTAGTATGTTAGTATGCTACACCAAACAGCCATAAAAGTGCACTTATTTGCCAAGACATTTCTCATTTTCATTTAGTTTAACTTGAAGTACTAAAACAACTAAATTAATAAAAACACTATATACATACTATAAACATTTTTTAAAATAACAATGACAAAAACACACACAAAATGACTAAAATTGAAAATAATCTCTAAAATCTAAAAATAAATAAATAATAAATTAAATCCATTTAAAAAATTAACAAAAACTATAAAATGATACTAAAATAACACTGTTTCACCTACCATTTTTAACACAGCATATACTGCAGTATTCTGATTCAAATGACAAATCATTATAGCAATATGGGTTAAAGGTCATGTCTGAGAATGGCCTTTAAAACAACGGCATTAATCAGTATATAAACCCCCTGCATCAATCATTAGAAGTTTTTACAGTAAGCGAGAGAAAATTAGACCGCCAACTGCAGGAAGATGAAAAAACACCCTGAAAATAGACAGTCAGACTGCCAGAGAACAGAATCCAAGTCCTTTAATTTAATGAGTCTATAAATTATTACATGCCATATTGCTCATCTTCCATGAAATCAACCTCAATTCTTCAGCAGACTGAAGGAGAACAATAGTGACATGTTCATCCGACCTCTTTTCCTGTGGATTCTCTCTCTCTATACATGTGTGTGTGTGTTTCTGAATTTGTGTATGTGGAGATTAAAAGGGGATCAGGGCCAAAATGAAACCGCGGCTCTGAAACATCAAAGAGAGAAGCAGACAAAATCGTCACAGTCTCTGATGTTTAAAGTGTGTGTGTAAATGTGTGCTTAAATCCCCTCTTCCGTATCTATTGGCTGT